CAGATTATCGAGGCAGATGAGCGCACTTCTATTACTAACAAATAATTCCTAGGAAAACCATTATCACATCCGGATGAGTGGCACTTGATATGGTAAACAGCCACCCAAGAGAGAGCGTGATTAGTGAAGAGTACATAGTCTGGAATTTCAGAGCACACTGAAGACCAAACTGGAGAACAGCTGGAGAGATGCACAGGGCTGATGCACAAGGCTCTTTTTCACTTCAGTTTTATTTTTGGAAGCAATGGATGGCAACTATTTAGTTATTGAATAGATGTTTTTGTTTTCAAGGAGTGAAAGGATGATGAAGACATTTGGCACATAAATGAACGTAGATGATCATCGTCCCACTCCATAAAGTGCCATGGGAAAGCTCTGCAGAGCTGATCTTCAAACAGCAGCTTCTGCTGCTAGTGGGGCAGCCTCGAGTAGTTCCCACATGCATAATGCTGAAGTGAGCTGGCTCCAAGGTAAGGGAATTTGCTCTTGTGTAAACGACTTTGTATCCCTTCCAAAATTGACATGTCTTTCTTTACATAGTTTTAAATTGTTAGAATAAAACTACAGTACTTGTCAAATGCCTAACAGTCAGTGTAAGAGCACCAAAAGGAAGTATAGGCAGGAATTAGATTGAAATCTTTGCCTCTAAAATAGCATTAAGCCCAGACAGCACAGGACAGGTATAATGTAATTGAAAACACTTTTGGAAGTGGAAGAAAAGGCTCCTCTGAGCTTCTATTGCCTTAGGATCAGCAAGAGAAAAGAGAAGTTGGATCACAGATGCAGTGGGATATTGCGAGAGTTTCATTTACACTCTGCTTGTTACATTCACTTCCAAATAGTGACAGTCTCCCTAAAGAGAAGCCAGTGGGTTTCTTCGAAAAGCCTGAGCTGCCTGTTTCAATATGTAAATCTCCAGCCAAAGTGAGAGGGGGTGAGCCCTTGTATCATGTTATAGCTCCTTTGTTAATGTTTGCATCATATGAGGAAATTCCATAGCAATGTAAGGAAAACCTTCTTTCTTTTGAGGGTGACAGTACAGGAAAGTGTTACCCATGGAGCTTGTGGACTCTCCTCCTCTGAAGATATTCAAAACCCACCTGAATGCTTCCCTGTACAACCTACTGGGAAGAACCTGCTTTAGTTGGACTGGATGATCTTCACAGGTCCCTTCCAACCTCTATGATTACGTGATTGTGTGATTAATGCCAGCTCATGTTCTATAGCACTCCTGGGGCTTCCTTTTCAGCTGCAGATCTCCTCCCAGCACCCAGAAGTAGATCAAAATGATCACAACTGTCAATAGCACAACTGCAGGTGTAGGAGGAGAACAGTCAACATCCGTCTGCCAAAGCTACAGCTGTCCATGTCACTCAATACAACTTCTTTGAGAAGGGGCTGCCTTCAAAATCAAATTGGGTCGATAAGCCTCCAAAAAGAGCTGCCCATGCTATTACTGTGAAGTATTCATCAAGCTGGATCTCAGTTGTTTTGGGACCCAACTCTTGCCCAAGTCGCACTGCAGGCCTGCTGTGGCATTGGAGATACCATTGCACAGAAATCTGAGCAGAAACACTTTATTCTGTGGCAAGTTTTAGACTTGGAAAGTAAAGAGGCTTGGGCCAGGAGCAGCAGCAGGATCATATCCTACATGTATTGAAATGGCCAGGATGGTGCGGAACGAACAGGACGTGGTATGTTAGGAGGATGTGGGACGTTAAGAGGATGTGGTACTTTAGGAGCACATGGAACGTTAGGAGGGTGCAGTATGTTAGGGGAGTGTGGTGCAGCAGTTTGCATGGGCAGTTGGAGCACCCAGTGTACCAGACAGCCAGAGGCAGAAACGCAGACCAAGGGGTGTGTTGTGCACCCAGATGGGCTTCCCAAGGAGCAAGAGGGCTGTCCAAACCTTTGACTGTAGGGAGCTCTGAAATATGGGGGCCACCCATGGGACCGAGGTAGACGAGGGGTGTCATGGGTGCAGAAATGGATGATCTTCTTGAGCCAGCAGTTGAACTGAGAGAAGAGGTTGCCAGGCTGAGATGCATGCAGCAGAGAGGGAAATTGTCACCTGGTATCGCATGGCTGCATGGGCAGACAGACAGCTCTGTCTTTGGGCCCAGACAGGGGAGGGTGATAAACAGGCTGAACTGAGGATAAACACAAGCAGGCTGAGGGGGGCTGGACTCTTGCCTCTGCTTGGAGCAAGAGGGTCTTGGTGAAAATTATCTGAAGTTCATGAACTCCTAAACAGTGCCTTCACTGTGTATTTTTTGTTGATATGGAAATATATTATGTGAATGATATTGAAAATGCTTTTTTGTTTGTTTGGTTGGTTGATTGTTGAGGTTTTTTTGTTTGTTTATAGCATGGATCTGCAGGAATCTTATTTTTCAAGTATGGAGAAAAAAGACAAATGTAGCACCAACAGATCAGGAAGTCACCAATTGCAGCTGTATTTCAAAAGAATGCTCTGAGGTATCAATTATTAGAGATTCTACTTTTTTTATTACCATATGAATGATTCTTTCATCCATAAAATAATTCCTTGTGCCTAGTAAGCAAAGAATTTGTTGACTTCACAGAAAACATTGTTAACTTTACAATAATATATTCAAACAAGACAACGTGGCACAATGTATAACTATGTCCTGCTTTATACATGCTATTGTAAAATGTCTTTGTGCGGCCTGGATGTTGGGCAAATACTTTTTGTAATGATGGATCAAATGCTGGACTGAGTTATCTCAAAAACATTCTGGTAAGAACAACTGCATTTCATAAACAATAATTATAAATACAATCCTTTTCTCAAACAATATTTAGGTGACAAATGTAAGCTGTAAGTTTTCAAAAATTGCTGAAAATTAGTGTTAATCCATATAAACTGCCTTCACAACTGTCAAGGTATAGATAATGATTAAGTTTTGCGTTAGAATGTGTGTAATTTACAAGTCTGGAATAAATATGTAACTTATTAAGATAATAAAATATATGGCCTTTTTATATACAAGCAGTAGGTTAACATTTTAAAAGAAAAGTAGAAAGCTGTACATTTTATACAGTTTTTCAAATATACCCTCACTTATTTGATTTTATTTCAACTTTAAATCCAAAGTACATTTGCACAAATGTTTTCAAAGGTAGGAGTCCATGTGAAAGGCTCCCAAGACCAAGTCATGATCTCCTTCCACAAAAAAACCATGATGGCAGTTACTCAGAGAGGAAATTAATCAGCTTGTGATTTTCTGGGAGCTATTTACATTTATCAACTTTGCTACTTAGCTGGCTTAATCTAGAGCTACTCTCTCTGTACTCTCTAGGCTGCCAATAGAGAAAGTGAATTTTCTCCTGCAGGAATTTGTGACCAGAATGGCACAGAATGGGATGGCATTGCTTTCTCTGTTGTCTCTGGAGGGGGAGTAGCCAGCTAGATCATCTGGGTGACACCAAGAAATATCACTGTGCTTCTTGCTGAAATTGTTCCTCTTCAGCTCTTGGTCAATACAGCTTTAATTCATCCTGCATTTCTACTGTAATATTATACTGTCACAAGTCCAGCTGTTATTTTTCTGTTATGGGTGAGATCTTCCCAACCATTCAGTAGAATCCACCACACATTCAATGCAAATGTAAATACTAACACACATTTATGTAGTGCACTGAATATGCTAACGTAGCTAGACACTGATGAAAGTTACTCTCATAATTCTATGATTTTTGAGAAGTCCATCAGTCACCTACAAAGTAATTGTAACTAAACGCCAAAAACTACTGTTCATATAGGATTTCCAGTAGTATGTTTGTGAATCCTTCTTTGTTTTTTGGCTCAAAGCTTGCTTCCTGAGGTATTTCTTGTGATAAGACTCTGAATGATTTGTTAAGGAGGCAAGTGATGGGTGCTAACTGTGTGACAATGGATATCGCTTTGGGAACATTTGAAAGCCCCTTCCTCCAGAACTGCTTGCTCTGTAGAAGAGCAGATGAGAATGCTCAGGAGTGTTCACTGGCGGAAGATCTGGCCTGTGACTAAACTGCTCCAGTTAGGTGTGGGAAAATTGGGGAACGATACCATCGTGTTCTGTGAGAAACAGGATGCAGATGGGCATCCCTGCTCCCTCTTATCTGCTGGCAAGGCCCAGAAGATGGGAACAAAGGAGTTTCTGCTGAGATCCCAGAGCCAGAAGCTGCCACTCAAAGGAGAGCTGACTCAGCCACTATGAAGCACTGAAAAGGGGCCATCCTCGTCGTGCTTCTTCGCCGTCATCAATAGAACAACTCTGCCTGACGACCCACCACTATTGAAGATCAAAGACTGAACTACGAACCTCACTGGATCCATGGTGGTGACTATGTCCCTCTTGCTTCCTATAAAGACTCCTTGCTTCTTCTTTTCTATCGCCCTCCTTCCCTTCCCCATTACCCTAATTCATAATAGTGTCCGTCCTCCCCTTCCACATTTCCCTAATTAAGATTTGTAATAAACTGGTCGGACCAACATTTGAACGGTTGCTTCTTAATCTCACGCCGGGTATATAGATAATAAAAGAACCTCATCTCCCTCCTATAAATTGGAGCTAGACAATGTTGTTAACTTTTAGTCCTGAGGCAGAGAAGAGACATAAACAGGTGCTATTCCCTAACCAGGCCTGTTCATGTACATAAACAAGTTGCAAGAAAGAAACACTAGTGATGTAAATAAAAAAAAAAGTTTTCAAAGGTCTGACAAATAAAATAATTCTGCTTGAAAATATCCATTTTATGTTTCTATGACAATATCATAAGTAATGGAAAGGTCAAAAGGAGCACTTGATATTCGGGAGGAAAAATCACTGTAAGTGCACAGGTAAAAACTGGTCCCACAGTACACAAATGCAAAACTCCATACTTCATCAGGATGAGTATTTGATTCATGTATTTATGCAGGTGTGATCTCTTTAACAGAGTTCTGTATTTCAACATATTTGAAAAATGAAAACATGCATCATTCTTGTGCAAAATTCATTTTTCTTGCTTTATTTTTCTACTTTAGGATGTAAATGAACTGCTAATGCTCTTAAAATATTTACCAATATTTCTAGCTATTCATGAAAAATGATTTATACCTCCATAAACATATAGCAAACGGTAAACTTATCTTACATTAACAACCACCACTGAACTTAGGAATCACTCTCCTTTTTTTTTTGAAAGCCTCATGTATTTCTATTTGCCAGTAAGGCCCTTCTAACACATATAAATTAATGGTCAGATGGATATTAAAAAAAAAAAAGAGGTTCCTCTGTGGACTTATAGGTAAAATTAAAAAGCAGATATCCCGTATCATTTATTGTTATTTTCATCAGATAATTTATAAAATGCTGGTTAGCAAAATCAACCAGACCCCTTAATGTTATAAAATACATCTTCAGGACAAAGGACACAAGGAGAGACATAAAAGGTTGGAAGCATAGAAGCATATTCTCATAAGTACTAAACAATCCCTATTGTTGGATGACCAGATCGAATCATCGTTTAGGTAGGTGCTATCAAAGTTCACAATCTTCAAGTCCTTTTTAAGATACGTTTCATTCAGATTGCTTAGCGTTCGAGCAAAGGTGTATTTAGATGCACAACTGTATGCCTCCATACTGTAGACTTTGTGGAAGTGCATATCAAAATATGGATTATCCTAAAAAAAATTGAGAACAAAATTATTACATGCATTATAGACATCAGAATGGCAATTTCTTGTTTTCTGTTTACTTACTTTTAGGGTTTCTTTTTCTCAGTTTTATGGATTCCAAAAAGTATTAGCTATGGACTTTGTGTATTTCTGCTATTCCTATTAAAGAGTCTTGTAAAATTTTACTAATTAACTGTTTATAAGTAGCTGCCTTTCTTTGCCATTATGAGTTTTGCCTAAGTAAAACTTTCAGAGTTTGTCTAAGGAAGACACTGCACTTTATTGTGATTATACAATGCTGTTTTGAAGTGAACCAATTTGTCATGTTGCCTAAAACACACTTGCCTTCTGACTTGCCTGTCAGAAGAAGAATATTGATTGCTCTTCCTGCCCAAACTGTAATTTTGTGTGCTTTCAAGCTCTTGGCACAATTAATACTAGCAACAGCTAAGTTGTATTAAATTCCATGGATATGAATAGCAATATGATGAATATTTATATCAGTGCTAATCACTGTGTAATGAGGAGTTTGAGGCTCATTTATGCTTTTCTGTAACCAAAAATAAGATTCTGAACATCCTAGTTGTGGAAGGCTGAATAATTTCTGAAGTGTATTTGAATTTTTTAAAAACAAACAAAAAAGAAACCTTAAAAAAAAAAAGTTGAAAGTTACTGAGTCCATGTAGGCAAACAATAAGTAATCTTCTGGCTGCCTTATCTGGTAAAGGGATAGGAACATCTCCAGCTGCAAGATAACTTGGAGAGTACATAAAATATTATTAGCTTTGGCTATTTTCCCCTCTGGCTTAAGCTGCAAAGAGTTCGTGTGATTCGTGGATACTCTGAATCTGATCTCACCTCCACAGTCTCTTAGGTTTCTAGTTTTAGAGTTGAGAGCAACGCACAAGGGACTGCAGACAGCTGCAGAGATTGTGGCTGGTTGCCCATGCAGGAGCTGTGGAAGACTTTTTGAAAAGAGAACAGTTGTCAGGATGGAATGAGTACAACTGGAGTCTGTCATTTTTCCTTGAATCAAGACTCTGACGTCCCTTTTGTCGGCTCTTGATTTCTATGTCATCAGGACAATATAATCTCAATTCTATTTTATGTTCATTTGAAACATGAAAGGTAAAAAAGTAATTTTCTCCGAAACGACATTTTATATGCATGGATGCCTGTTGTAACACTTTATCTACAGTAAGACATTATCTTCAAAGCACTCTTATAGCTTCTGTAAAATAGAATTTAATTCTACTTTTGGTGTTTTGTATAAAATTGTATATTGTATTGCAGCCTCATTTACCCTTCTGTAATTGAATCTGAGAGATTATGACTTTTTTAGCAGTAATATCAATCATAGCTAGCCAAAGCTGTTTGATTCAGTTATTCAACTGATGCAAGTAATGTGATGAAATTTAAATTATGTGAAAGATGATGTTTTACATATTGATACAAATTCTCTTTGTTGTACAAACAACAAGATCCTAAATTCAAATGGAAGGAGTCTCCAAAAACATGTTTTCAAATACACTGATCTCAATTCAAATTCAAACCAGGAATTGAGTGTTGTGAATTTTTGTTCCCAGTTACAATGAACAAATGAGAAAACATCCAGATTGTCCCTCAGATCTCAACAGGAGAGATGAAAATTAAAATAAACAAGAAAATCTCTCTTTCTCCCCACACCTCGAGCAATATAAATATAAATGCAATCGGGAACCTCTCGCATGCAATAAACTCAAAAAACCATGGAGACTTTTTGTTTTGTTTTGTTAAAAAAAAAGATAATCAGATAATGTCCTTCAAATGCATTTCAATACTTGTATTCCAACTTGCAACATAATAGAATTATATTCTGTGTATTTAATAATACATAACACTTACAGTATCTGCTTCTTTTCCATCAATCATCTCCAGATCTTTTAAAAACCACTTTTCAACTACTTCATATTTCTCTTCTCGATCTCGAAAGTGTTTTACCATACATATTTCTACTTCTTCACTTTTAGACACTGCAAAACAAAAACAGTTATGATATGCAAGCAAATACTTCCCCAAAGTTCTAATAATAAAATACTTAAACTTCATTTAAAAAAATAATTTAAATGACAATATGAATAGAAATAGGCCAGTGTTCTCAGCCTACGAAACCTATCTGTCTTAAACAAATTGAGTGTTTAGCTTCCCCATCCTGTGAAAAGGCAATCTTTCCACTGCAAAAGCCTCTGCTTTGAACTCACCAACAGTGCAGTGAAGACCCAACTCCAGCACTGGAACCGTGGGGATAATCCACGTATCCTGATTACTTTGACAGTGAATCCTTGGGGGTACTAAAGTCAGAGAATTGCCAAATCACTACCAAGGCTCTTGTGAGTATGACTGCTTTCTGTTCTGAGGATGACGTTTTCTTACGGACTTATTTTTAAACAAAACTCTCACTTCCCTATCAAATGTATTTATGTCACTTAACCGAAGTAACACTGAAAATACTTCTTAAAGCCTCACATGGCTCAGTGCTGTCTTTGTAGAAGTAACTGTTTTCTGACTTAGACAGGAAATGGGAATAAAAAGAGTGTGCAGACATTCCTTGTAATAACTACCATTATTAATTGATTACACTGAGTGCTGTGTAGAAGATCAGACTTCTTTAACACGAAACAATTAGTGTGAAAAGCACTGCAGCCTGAAACAACTTCTGCACATCCAGCATAGCAGCTGCTGGGCAGAGCACTTCCCCAAGCCACCTTTGAGATTAACGCGGCTCTGTCACCTCTGACAACACAATGTGATGCTACAGATGAAGGACCAAGATTCTTTCTGATCTAAGTTCTGCCTGGAATTTTGAAAATCCATTCTGAAACTCAACTAGATTTATCTTATTTATGTTAAAACATGCTTTGCTTCTGACTTTTTTTTTATAAGATGGTTAAAAAATAAAGACAAACAAAGGATTATCCAGCTTCTTTCCACTGCCAATTAAAAAGAGGAAAATGTTTAAATTAATTGTAATTCCCTCAGCGCACGGCTTCTCAAACAGCCTGCTGTGAAACACACACCACTAGTTTGTTTGTTTTTTTCCCCTTGGTTCTAACAGTCATAGTTGCACAATGATTTTTAATTGAAAGATCACTGGAGTGTTGTTCACCTTCTGTGAGCAATGTTTTCACTTATTCATCTAGTAGGCTTCTCATAGAAAGTGCTTTTTTCACTTTGATTTTCTCCCATTTTGTTTGCTGCCCTGTGAAGCAGTATGTTGTCTCCCTCAGAGTTAGAAGAAAACAAATCTAAACCCAAAAGCCCACAGTCTTTTCAGAAATAGATGTCCTAGGCACCTCTCAGACCCACAGACTACCATTTCTCTATCACTCATGTAAGAACAGAAATTGTTCAAAATAAGGACAGAGGCAGATGTGTTTAAGAAACTGCTGCAGTAAGAATAATGAAGCCAGGAGCACGTTCTGCTCAGTGGTGAAACCTGGGTGGGCAGTTTTCACCTATAAAATCTTAATTTTCCTGCATTTTAGATATATCACTGGGTCCTGAATTCAGTTGACATTTTAAAGACAACTATATTTTTGATAAATAACATGAGTTCAGATCTACCATTTCACTCATTGAACTCTCGAAGATTTTCTTGTGGCAGGAATGGTTATGACAGTGCCCTCAAGAGCACAAATTATTTCTTAATGATTCCATGGATTGAAGACCTTTCTGGATTTTCTCCATTCCACTGAACAGTCTGATGTTAGTCTGCCATTGTTCTCAGGCAGACCAATGCAGACTTGTGAAAGTTCGTAAACGTAGCTGCATTTCAGCTTTGCATTCTTCCAGGGCTCACAAAGAAAGCATTTAATGAAAGGACACTCTTGTCTTCACACAAAAACCTAGATTTGCTTTTTTGAAAAAAGGAAGGGAAATAAGGTTGGGCATATGGCACAAAAATAAGATTGTTAATAAGAAGTTATCCATGCCAAGAGTTTATTTTAATATAGATTTGAAAAGGCATATATACTTCTAAACATTTGCCTACATGTGGTTTGACTAGGTTTTGTTGTTGCTGTTGTTTTTGTTTTCTCTTATGTTAATTTGAAATACAGAGGAATACAGTGAAGATGTATTGTGGGGATAAGATTTTAGAGAGTACAGAATCACAGCAGATTACAGTAACTGCTGGCAGATGAGTGCAACCCATTGTTCAGAATTAGAGTGCTACTCTACTCACTACTCAGTTGAATATGCCTGAATATATTAAGAGAGTTTAACACTGGATACTCTACATATATTTTCCTTTATGTCTTCAGTGACAATCAATCAGTCAAGCTGATTAGAGCCTTTCTCTAATGGCTTGTTCTTCTCTACCTTAGGAAGAAATTTTTTAGTTAAAATTGTATAGATAGCAAATGTTTTTTCTCCTCTTTGGAAGTTTCTTAACACCAAACTGTTTAATTCTACTATACAAATCTAATCACACTTCTACCAAATTGTTTTGTAAACTATGAATCAGGTTTGTATTTTTGTACATTTAGAAGCTCTATAATACTCAAGAATCCATATCTTAGAACTATTTTTGCAGTTCTAATATATAAAATCTACTAAATCTACTAAAATCACATCTGCTGTGAACAGATCTTGCTCAGTATGTCCATTAATCTGTAAAATACAATTGTTCAACAGATGTTTTCAAACATAAGGATCACAGAATATATTTGCCATCATCCCATATTGGCCAAAAAAATTCTGAAATACAGAGATGATTTCTATCTGCTTTGTGTGTTTTGATCACCAAGAGGAAACAGACTGCAAAAAGCATTCCCTTCAACCCAACTGCTTATATCATAGAATCGCCATGGCTGGAAAAGGCCTCCAAGATCATCTAGTTCACCTGCCCACCTATCACCAATATTTCCCACTGAATCACGTCCATTGGTACAACATCTGAATGTTTCCTGAACGCAAGATGCATGAGAATTTCTCTCTTTCCATCAGCTTCCACTAATACAAAAATAATAATTAAAAACATAACGCAAACAGCCCTAGAACCATGTTCTAAAGTCACCAAGAAACACTTGCACTTGAAATCAAATTCAGTAAAGAGCCAAATAATTAATTTTGTCAAACAATCTTGCTTTAATCACGGTTCTTGCTAATTACTAATTCAAACATGTATTTGTTTAAGCCATAAGCCCAGTTAATCATTACTTAAGTAACTGGGCAGTATGCAGGACTTTAAAGTATGACAAGAGATAGCACAGAAGCTCTGAAAATGACGAACACTTCCTGCAAAGAGGATGTATCGTTACGCTTTGTTTTATAAAAAACAACAACCTCCTAGTAGAGGAAAGAGCATTCCTCTTTCCAACAATCACTCCGAGCGCTGCCACGTCCCGCACGTTTACCAACAGCTGTGCGGAGATCCTCGAGTCTCCCCGCTGGTCAGAGCGCTCATGCTCTCAGGAAGGAGGAGGAAACAGCAGCACGGACAGCGCCAGCAGGCACAGCCGCCGCCGGGCAGCGCGGAGCCAGCCGGCATCCCGCGCCCCGCGCCCCGCACCCACCGCGGGCAGCCCGGTACCTGCGGCGCACAGGTAGCAGCGCTCCGAGCCCGAGCCTTCCACCTCGATGAACTCTTGAAGCCGCAGCCTCCGCGGCCCGAAGAGCCTCTTGGCCAGGTCCTCCTTCACCAGCGAGGACATGGCACACGCCCGGCAGCGAGCGACGCGCCGCGGGCCGCCCAGGCTGCCACCGGGGGGACATCGCCAGGCGCAGCCCCGAGGGGCCCCGCTGCCGGCCCGCAGCCCTGCGAGAGCCGCGAGGCTGCGGCACTGGAGCGGCCGGCTGGCACATCTCGCCGCCCCGCCTCCTCCCGCCCCGGGACGGCCCCTGGACGAGCGGCGGTGCAGATGTTTGCAGCTAGGGGGGAAATTACCGCGTGCTGCTCTTTACATATTGCAAATGAGAGGGCATAAAGACCCGTGCAACAGGAGTGTTCAGAGGGTGGGTGCAGTCAGGGGACGCAGGTGTGTTTCCGTGTATGAGAGGCTGGATACATCAATGGGAGCGTTTTTGGAAATGGTAGCAGTTCTGCCACGCTGCATGTGGGTGGGTAGCATCTGGTGTACATTTATTTCTCTAATTTATGGATCTGCAGTTGCCTGTTTTAGAGTCTTAACTCCTGGCTGCATGTAAAAGTTGAATGAGTAAAAAAAAAGAAAATAATAATAATGAGGTTTTTCCAATATTATTAGAATAGTTCAGCGCCTGAGACATCCAGGTTCTTTGCTGATATGAAGTGAATGAAAGCAGGTAACTGCTCCTCCATTGTGTAGGTGTGAAACTAGGGAGAATAACCCTGTCTTGTAGATACTAAATATATTGCATGGGCTTTTTGGTCCCGTGTATTTAGAGAGATACTTGTGGTTCTTGAATCTATTGATGAATTTTCATCTCTGCTTTGGGAAAGCAATATTACTCTAAGCTTTAGGTTTGGGATATATGTTATCAGAAAGCATGAGCCTGCAGCCTTTGGTTCCTCACCACTGGTGTTACCAGCATCACAGTCAAGTCAGTGCCAGTACTAAGTGCCAGAGGCCTCATTGGGAACCTGGTTTTCCCTCGATCTATAGCTCACATTGCATCTCTGATACTTGGTTGTTCTTGCACAGGTTTGAAGCAACAGATGAAGAGATGCTAAAGTACCTTCAGAAAAGTATCTTCAGCTCTGGAAGAATTATCCATCAGCTTTCCCTTGTGAGAGGTTCAGCTGATGGCAGTAAAACTGCCTGGATGGTGAGTTACGTGGCACTGGCATCCTGGAAGTGACTGAGAGAGCTGAGGTAGTGGCTATGTGGAGCTCTGCTCTTCCCCTCTTGGATGTTCCTTGGATTATCAGAGAGACATTTTGAATTAGGCTTCATTTTTTCAGAATTATATCAAACTCTAAGTCATTATGCCTCAGTTTTCACAGGAGTGTTTTTTGGTTTGATGTATTACCATTATTTTTGTCTCTGGGGATATTCTGCAGTACTGATGCTAAGCTGCTCTGGTTAACAGTGTATGTCTGGTATCAGCATGTACCTTTAACAGCTCTGTACTGAAAGCTGTGTCTGGCTGTTGGTGGGGCAGGGCTGTTCAGCTGCTATCTGAGCAGTACTGAAGGGTGCACAGCTGCTGGTTTATCTCCCTCATTCTTGTATAGGCAGAAGTGCTTGGAAGACCTTATGCTGTGATGTAACTGCTTTGTATCTCCTCTTAAATCAAATTACATTAAAAAAAAAAAATTAAAGAGATTAAATTACATCTGCAGTACGCGTTAGTACATTCTCAAATGCTACACCAGGACACTAAGTGACCACACTGAGTATGTAAAGAGATGTTACAGTGATGATTTTAATGTTGAATATTTTAATAAGAAACAGGAAAATCTGTAATTCAGAGTTGTTCTTGATGAGAACACAGCAGGACAGTTCTGGTGAGCTGACAGTGGGATGGCCTGTGGTCATTTGGACAATGACAATCAACGTTTTTTTCTTATCTTTTGTATGCTTTATAGTTAGTTTTTTTCTCTCTTTATGATTGTATTACATTGTGGAGAAACATCTGCCCTATTTTCGAGGTGACTCACAAAATAACTTTTTTCCAATTTCTCTGCTATTTTACTGACTTGGGTGGAAGGGAAGTAAGGCTTAGTAGGCTTAGGAATCCTCCCTTTCCAGCATGCACAAAGGCAGCTCTTATGTTTCCATGTCTGGTTACCAGCATATTACAGATTTTGTAGGATGATTCTTACAGAAGGTAAAGAGCATCTGCAATGTCTGCACTTCTGTACTTCTTCCCTGCTTACACATTCTTCTGTTGTTTTTGTTTCCTTGTTCTGTTTCTTCCTGTTGCTTTTCTTCTGGTGTTATTTCTGTTCTCTTTCTTTTTCCCACTCATATTCAGAAACATACAACTCTTAAGGACTTAGAGGATCTTTTTATGACTCACGCAGTCCCTCTTATTTCACACACAAACTGGGGTTTAGCTGAAAGCAGGTGAGTATAGCCATAAGCATGTATGAAGAAGCATACACAAATCATACTACTGCAGGAAATCGTTCTGTTCTGCAAATTGAAGCTTTCCCATTTGACTCAAATTTAACACTACTCAGAAACTGTCAGTAAGAGCTTTCACCTTAATGTGCCTTTTTGCTGGTGTCATTATTTACTGAGTAGAAAAAGCCATGCTGCCACAGTGTTATAGAAGATAAACAGATGTTTTGATCTATGAGGTTTCTGTTCCATCTTAGCCATAATACTGTAAGTCAAAATCCTGACAGTTCGTAACTTAAAGTTAGGGAGTAACTTACCCAGCCAGCAAGGGCACATGGATGGTGGTCCAGGACCAGGCTCTGCTCCTGCTGTCAAGCACCACTGTCAGCCCTCCCTACCTGAGCTCTTCCCACTATATTCACAGATAGAACAAGTAAAACTTTTTGTTACCAATGCCATAAACAAATTGAAATCCAATTTAACATGGATTTTTTTTTTAACTGTCAACATCACAGATATTTGTGGAAGCTGCATTCCCCGTACAACAGTCTCACTGTGATCTACAAAGGGCCTCTCTACAAAATGAAATATTCACCAGGGAATTGTGTTAGACCTTTCTGCCAAATATTAATTATTCCTGTTCCTTTCTGTGCCCTGCCATTTGCATGCAAACTTACATTTTTTCTTTACTGTATACAGGACATTAATTGTAATAGATGTAGTAGCAGATCCTAATAGGTAAATCTCACCATTTTTAATCTTTGTTATTTCTCAGATTCACTGTTCTGGGAAAAAGCAATTCAACAGCTTCAGAAGCAGTTTTTATGACGAGTCTTTATATTCCTTTGTATCTACTGATGTGCATTAGTGTATACATCTAAATGATTACCCTGGGGCTTGATCCAAAACCCATTAGGTCAGTAATAAGATTTCCTTTAATTTTGGTGGGTTTCAGAGTAGCCATTAGTTGAGCAGCACAACAGTCACCATGTTTTCTGTTCACAAAAATGAAAGGATTACCAGTGATGTTTGCAACTGTTTTTAATGAATGAACTTCTAGCATTTATGAAAACAGTCTTAAGAAGCAAATAATGACTGGGCTAAGGCAATGTAGAAAAGACCAATTTGCTACCTTGTTATCCTTCCACCATCAGTAGCAGAGGGGCTGTCCCCCAAGAAAGGCAACTCAGGAGCTGAGAGTGACATTTCCTTATTAAAAATAAGCACATTGACCACATCCTGCTGACTGGAATAAGGCATGAAAAACATATCAGTAGCTCTGCTCAAAACAGGTGGGAATTTGCTGTGTTCTGCATGATGAAGCACTCTGGAGGTGTACATTTGTTCTCACATCTTAAACTCCCAGCAAGTACCACACCCTTATAAAGCAGTGTTCACTGGAACATTGCTCCTTGCTTGACAATATTATCAAACAAAAGGAAAGAAGGAAAACAAACCTAGGCTGAAAAACCTTATTTACCATTTTATTTATATGAGGATTTATATTGCTCTAGCTATTTCTGTTTGAGGTTTCAGCCAGTTGTGGTTTTCTCAGCTTGTACTCAATTCATTGTCCAAAAGTATTCTTCACATCTTAAGGGCTCTTGACTGTGTATTTAACATCTTAAATGAGGTTTTAGAATATTTTTCAACATTTCCATTTCATACTCTACAGGGACCTGGTTGTGTAGAGAGATTTGTGAGGCAATATTCTGAATGATCATTACTTTTTTCCCTTTTTTCAATGATTTGCTTTTCTCAGGCTTGTTTTCCCACTGATGTTTACCTAAAAGATCTGACTCCAAGCCATGTCTACTTTTTGGTATGTTGTGACAGCCAGGAAACGTTGATCTCTGTGCAGTGAAGCATAAAAGTAGTTAAGTTGTACAGAAAAGTGTAAGCAGCAAAAGTGGTAACACTGTTTCATGCAGAAATGTTATTCAGTGATGTACAGCTGGAGTTACTGGTTCAGTTTTAAAGTAGAAGTGTAGACATACACATGAGAAGATAGCAGTTGGTTAAATTGCACTGTTTTTCTCCTGAATTCCTTTTGTGATCCCATTGAAAGAGTGCTATACTGACTTAATGATATGTGGATGCTAAAGCAGAGGATGAGTTAAGATCTCATCAATTCTGATAAATAGCATTAAAACTCAAATATAATTATTTTCCTTAGTGATGTAACCAGTCAATTAAAAAAAAAAAAAAGAAAAAAAAAAGTAGCATTATTCTCTTTTCTTGAAAGGAAGGAGAAAGAGTTTGGGATTTTATTTAACTAAAGCTCTAATTTGTCAAATTTATTCAGAGCACTGTAATTCATCATTCTGAAAATGCAGTCAAGACTGTTGCTTGGAAAACAATACAACAGCATGCCAAAATTCCACCAAAAGCTTTCCTTTAAACCACTTTTTCATAGAATAGTAAATAGATGCTATTTTATGGATGAAATTTACACAGGTTGAAACCTAAAATACACATAAGCAGTAACTCTATGAAAAATGTTGAGTAGCAACACATTGAATAGTACATATTAATGAGTGAAAAAAATGAAGACCTTCAGTAAGTTAACCTATATAGTAAGAATTAGTTTTGTGTTCAGGAAAGCATATAACAATGCAGTGATGAATTGGAGGCATATTTAATCAACAGCATAAAATCCTGGCATGATGGATTCAGCATTTTGTTATCCACATATATTCCATTCAACATCATACAGTTTTCTTTGTGAGTGTAAAATCCTCAAGATAGCCGTGAAAAAAAGGGTAGTTAAGGAAATTAAAAATAATCTTAGGCCACTCTAGGCATACAAATAAATGTT